GGTCCGAGGGGACCGTTCAGCCGCCACCTGCGGCCGCCTCGTCGTCACCTGGTCCAGCTTCATCCGAGTTTTCATCCTCGTCTGGTCCAGCTTCGTCAGAGTCTTCATCCTCGTCGGGTCCGGCCTCTGCCTCTGCTGCTCCGCCTGGTCCGGCCTCTGCCTCTGCAGCTCCGCCTGGTCCGGCCTCTGCCTCTGCTGCTCCGCCTGGTCCGGCCTCTGCCTCTGCAGCTCCGCCTGGTCCGGCCTCTGCCTCTGCAGCTCCGCCTGGTCCGGCCTCAGCCTCTGCAGCTCCGCCTGGTCCGGCCTCCGAGTGTTCAGCTTCGTCTGCTCCTGCACTTCCCGTCCGGCCTGCTCGTCCCGTCCGGCCTGCTCGTCCCGCACGTCCTGCTCGTCCTGTCCGGCCTGCACGTCCTGCTCGTCCTGCTCGTCCTGCACGTCCTGTCCGGCCTGCACGTCCTGTCCGGCCTGCTCGTCCTGCACGTCCGGTCCGATCTGCACATCCTGTCCGGCCTGCACGTTCTGTCCGGCCGATGACTGGACGTCGTTGCCGTCATGGACAGCCCTCTGAACTGCGCCGCCGTCATGGACGGCCCCCTGAACTGCTACGCCACCTGTGCCTCCCGCCCGGCCGGCCTCCTGACCTGCTCGGTCGCCGTCGCTGCCTCCCGCCCGGTCGGCCTCCTGATCTGCTCCGTCGCCACCGGTGCCTTCTGCCTGGCCGGCCTCCTGAACTGTTTTCTGGGCTCTTGGACCGTTGGCCTCCGGGTCGGCCCCCTGAGCTCATGGATTTTGGACTGCTGGACCGTTGGCCTCCTGGTCGGCCTCCTGAACTTTTGAACTGTCTTTTGTTTTGTTGTCGGCCTCCGGGGCGGCCACCTGAACCGCTTCGCCATTCGCTCCTGTTCTGCCGGGTTCATGGTCGCCCTCCTGAAGTCGGGTCTTGGACTTTTTGTGCCATTGTTGTGTTTGCTCTGTGTGTTTTCGTTTCTTTGTTTTTTGTGGCCTTGTTTCTGGCCCTCCGTCCTGGGCCCCCGCCGCCCGCCCTTGGTGGGTTGTTGTGGTTTTGTTTTCTGGGTGTTTTCGGGCGTCTGGAATCCGCCCTTGAGGGGGGGGCTCTGTCACAGGCTGGGTCTCCGACCCAGCACTCTGAGTTTTCTTTGTATTTTTTGATATGTTATTAGTTTGTGTTATTTCCTATTTTGCCTTTAGTTTAGGCAGTTATTGGTTATTGTTCCTGGGTTTTCTATGTTTTGGGGTTTGGTATTTATTCATCACGTGTTGGGTCTGTTGTGTTGTCATGTTTAGTTGTTAGTATTTCCTGTTTTATTTTGACAATGTCATGTGTTCTTTGTTCATTGTATTTAGCTTTCTCTCCTGGTCCTGTCATTAGGTTTATGTCTGTCAGCTGTTCCCCCATGTGTCCCCACTTCCCCTGATCACCTCATGTCTGTATTTAAGCTTTTTGTTTTCTTCATGCCATTGTCGGTTCGTCTGTTTATCTCACCAGGGTCACAGTTTTAGTCATGGTCTTAGCCTGTTTACCTCACCTCAGTCATAGTTCTAGTTTTCATCTGTTGTGTATTATTAGTCTTAGTCATGGTCTTTGTTTATTATTTTTCCACCACAGTCATAGTTTAGGTTTTGGTCTCAGTACCATTTAGTATTTTGTTTCTTAGTGTTTTGCCTGTTTGTTTTTGGTCTCTTGGTTCATTTCCCTGCCGTCATCGCATTAAAGGTTCACCTTTCTGTTAATCATTACAATTCCTCGTCATCATCTGCTTTTGGGTCCTGTTTCCACACACATCGGCGCACCCCGCCGTGACAGAACGAACCGACCAGTATGGACCCAGCGGATGCTGCTCTCACCGAGTGTCTGGAGGAGACTGCTCGGATCCAAGTGATCCTCGACCGCATCTTTACAGCGCCCGATTTAAAGAGCAAGCAGGTAATGGTTAACGTTGCTGAAGCTATTATGGAGAGGGATCCCCGCCTTCTCCAGCTCCCGGACTCACCTGCCATAGTTGCTGCCTTTACCAGGATAAAGGAGATGCTGCAGGCCCAGGCACTGTCGAGTCAGGAAATGGCTTCCAGCACCCACCAGTCACAACAACCCCACAATCAGTCATCTCCATTGCTGCCTCCGGAACCTGAGTGTGTTCGTGTCGGTTCGCTGAGATTCGCCACAGCGTCACCACCTCTCAGCTCACCAGTTTCCACGCCCTCATCACAGTCTCGCCATACTCCTGCCACGGTCCAGCGCGAGGAAGCGCTGGACACCGTTGATTTAGATCACGACGAGCGTCAGTCGATATACTGCGCTCTATTGGAGGAGGAGCTCCGGTGGAAGCCGTGGCTCATTCCGGAGCACGAGCACTCTTTCCGGGGAACTCGACTGGCTCTCGGGGGACCTCGGAGTTACCAGGGACTTCCACCTATTTCACCGCCGTTTTCCACTCCTAAGAAAAAGCGGCGTGCGCGCCGCCGACGCTCCATTACACAAACACAAGTGAGTGATTATATCTTGGCACCTCATGTTTTTTCTCCGGAGGTTATGGAAACTGACACTACTTTTCCGGTTAATGAGCCCGGCTATACAGAGACTGTTTGCCCTGGAAAAGCTAGCCATCAGGCTCAGCTAAGCTGCTGTGGGACTGCTATCCAGGCCGGTTTGGAGACGGAGGTACAGCTGGTGCAGCCAATTTCAGTGTCAGTCGGAGGGCCCGGGGAGCCCGTCCGGCCTCATGTTTCGTTTGCTGGAGGTTCAGGAGAACCCAGCCAGCTTCATGTTTCGTCTGCTGGAGGTTCAGGAGAACCCAGCCAGCCTCATGTTTCGTCTGCTGGAGGTTCAGGAGAACCCAGCCAGCCTCATGTTTCGTCTGCTGGAGGTTCAGGAGAACCCAGCCAGCCTCACGCCACGTCAGCTGGCGGGCCCGAGGAGCCCGTCCAGCCTCACGCCTCGTCAGCTGGCGGGCCCGAGGAGCCCGTCCAGCCTCACGCCTCGTCAGCTGGAGGGCCTGAGGAGCCCGTCTGGCCACCTTCTGCTTCACCACCTGTGGCTGCAGCGCCACCTCCTGCGGCTCCCGTGCCGCCGCCTGCAGGACCACCACCTGCTGCGCTACTGCTTGCTGCTTCTACGCCTCAGCCTGAGGACGACGCCTCACCTGGTTCTGCCACACCTCAGTCTGAGAACTCATACGAACTCATTTCACCCACTATAGACTGTGTGTTGCTGCAACTTGAAAAGCAACCTGCCTCGTCAGCTGGAGGGCCCGAGGAGCCCGTCCAGCCTCATGCCTCGTCAGCTGGAGGGTCCGAGGGGACCGTTCAGCCGCCACCTGCGGCCGCCTCGTCGTCACCTGGTCCAGCTTCATCCGAGTTTTCGTCCTCGTCTGGTCCAGCTTCGTCAGAGTCTTCATCCTCGTCGGGTCCGGCCTCTGCCTCTGCAGCTCCGCCTGGTCCGGCCTCTGCCTCTGCTGCTCCGCCTGGTCCGGCCTCTGCCTCTGCAGCTCCGCCTGGTCCGGCCTCTGCCTCTGCAGCTCCGCCTGGTCCGGCCTCAGCCTCTGCAGCTCCGCCTGGTCCGGCCTCCGAGTGTTCAGCTTCGTCTGCTCCTGCACTTCCCGTCCGGCCTGCTCGTCCCGTCCGTCCTGCACGTCCCGCACGTCCCGCTCGTCCCGCACGTCCCGCACGTCCTGCACGTCCTGCCCGGCCTGCACGTCCTGTCCGGCCTGCTCGTCCTGCACGTCCGGTCCGATCTGCACATCCTGTCCGGCCTGCACGTTCTGTCCGGCCGATGACTGGACGTCGTTGCCGTCATGGACAGCCCTCTGAACTGCGCCGCCGTCATGGACGGCCCCCTGAACTGCTACGCCACCTGTGCCTCCCGCCCGGCCGGCCTCCTGAACTGTTTTCTGGGCTCTTGGACCGTTGGCCTCCGGGTCGGCCCCCTGAGCTCATGGATTTTGGACTGCTGGACCGTTGGCCTCCTGGTCGGCCTCCTGAACTTTTGAACTGTCTTTTGTTTTGTTGTCGGCCTCCGGGGCGGCCACCTGAACCGCTTCGCCATTCGCTCCTGTTCTGCCGGGTTCATGGTCGCCCTCCTGAAGTCGGGTCTTGGACTTTTTGTGCCATTGTTGTGTTTGCTCTGTGTGTTTTCGTTTCTTTGTTTTTTGTGGCCTTGTTTCTGGCCCTCCGTCCTGGGCCCCCGCCGCCCGCCCTTGGTGGGTTGTTGTGGTTTTGTTTTCTGGGTGTTTTCGGGCGTCTGGAATCCGCCCTTGAGGGGGGGCTCTGTCACAGGCTGGGTCTCCGACCCAGCACTCTGAGTTTTCTTTGTATTTTTTGATATGTTATTAGTTTGTGTTATTTCCTATTTTGCCTTTAGTTTAGGCAGTTATTGGTTATTGTTCCTGGGTTTTCTATATTTTGGGGTTTGGTATTTATTCATCACGTGTTGGGTCTGTTGTGTTGTCATGTTTAGTTGTTAGTATTTCCTGTTTTATTTTGACAATGTCATGTGTTCTTTGTTCATTGTATTTAGCTTTCTCTCCTGGTCCTGTCATTAGGTTTATGTCTGTCAGCTGTTCCCCCATGTGTCCCCACTTCCCCTGATCACCTCATGTCTGTATTTAAGCTTTTTGTTTTCTTCATGCCATTGTCGGTTCGTCTGTTTATCTCACCAGGGTCACAGTTTTAGTCATGGTCTTAGCCTGTTTACCTCACCTCAGTCATAGTTCTAGTTTTCATCTGTTGTGTATTATTAGTCTTAGTCATGGTCTTTGTTTATTATTTTTCCACCACAGTCATAGTTTAGGTTTTGGTCTCAGTACCATTTAGTATTTTGTTTCTTAGTGTTTTGCCTGTTTGTTTTTGGTCTCTTGGTTCATTTCCCTGCCGTCATCGCATTAAAGGTTCACCTTTCTGTTAATCATTACAATTCCTCGTCATCATCTGCTTTTGGGTCCTGTTTCCACACACATCGGCGCACCCCGCCGTGACAACTACACCCTCTCATCACCCCTCCATCCCCACTCCCACACCCAGAGATCAGACACTCATCATACAGAAACACTGGAGATTAAAAAGAAACAATAAATAACATTACAAGGCTACTAGGAATACATGAAATATAATGAAAAGGGAATAAACAAAGAAAATAGTAAATACATCAAAAGTAAAGTGAAATAAAGTGCAGCATGATAAATAAAAGATGGTCAACTGTCTCCTCTGTCTCTGAAGTGCTCGTAGCATAAAAGTAAATCTGAAAGATGAGAAGGTCCTGAACTCCTGAGTGTTAAAAACCAGTAAAAGGATCTTAAAGATGACTCTGACTGCAGAGACGATAACATTGGTGTAATTAAGGCTGTGGAGTTGATTTTTAAAGCAGCTGCAGTGACAAGTGTTTCTTTGAAAAACTAAAAAGATGAGCACTGCAGTAAGCAACCCTGCAGGAGATGAAAGGAGGAGTCAGTGTCTCCACATCCTAAGTGAGTTGGAGGAAGTTTGCAGCCATCCAGGATTTAATATGTAAGATGCAGATAGATCTGACTGGCTCTGTGTCATCAGGAGACACAGCAACATCATCAGTGTAATCGTGTGTACTCATTCTGTGTCTCCTGATGACATCACAAAGTTACAGCCTGTAAATGTTAAAATCACTGGTCCCAGATCTGACCCTGTGGAACGCCATAGCTCAGTTTGTAGCTCCTGGATGAAGATTCATTACCACGTACAAAGAATCCTCCATCTGTGCAATTTAATCCAGTTAGAAACTCTCAGAGTCTCTATCAATGTCTCTAAATGTCTGCAGTGATCCACAGAATCAAAGTCAGCACTGACATCAAGAGGAACCAACACAGATCAAAGAGTTTCTCTGACAGTTTGCTTTACATAAATATTTAACCGCAATCAAATAACCAAAACTTATCAGATGGTGTGGAGCTGTTACCATCTGGGTAATGAAATGTAACTCAAACAGCTTCTGATATTAAACTAAAATAGTCCACACAGCAGCTCAGACCTGAACACATTCAGTGTGAAACACACTGGTTTATATTCTGTTTGTTCTCCTTGTGATGTTGCCCTCATACAACTATCTATCTATACGTATAAATATGTCATTTTTATAGTTAAACGTTTTTAACTAGTTTAATGTATTCTCTCTCTCTCTCTCTCTTGTTCCATGGTGCTTTGCTTCAGACCATTTCCTTCTTTGCTTCTTCATCAGGAGGATGAAGAGGAGGATCTTTCTTGTGTTTTTTAGAGATCACAACTGCAAAAACAAGAATGATCACAGCAACTAATAAAACAGAAGCCATCAGTCGACCATGATGACTTCTACCAACTCCATCTTCCTCCTGTCCATCCTCTGTGTCTCCTCCTGGCTGACCTGGAGGTGAGAAACAGGTGTGAGGTGTCAGCTGATCATGTCACACATCATCAACAACATCTTTAGAAACAAACATCAACAACCAGGAAGCAGCTTCCCTTCTGATCACACACACACTCAACTCTACTCACTCACCTGGAGGATCAACAACACATGATGATGCTGGACTTCCATGAGCGTGTTTCTCTCATGAAGACACGACACTCGTATGTTCCAGTGTCATTAATCATCACATCCTTCAAAATCAAAGACACGTCTCCATCCTTCATCTGTTTGTCCTGCAGATCCACCCGGTTCTTAAAAGATAGATGCTGGTGATTTGGAATAAACTGCTTGTCTCGGTACAAAAGAACATATTCTGGCTGCAGGTCAGCTCTGCTCCATTGTACTACTATGTTGTTATTTGGAGCTCGACATGTCAGAGTGACGTTCTTTCCAGACTCAGCTGTGACGTTTTTGTGGTCTGAAAAGGAAACACAGAGCAGAGAGGTTACAGATGAAAGTTTGATCTGTTCACTTCTACACCAGCCAATCAGCAAAGAGTTGTACACACTGGGTTCAACACATTAGGCTAAATGTTCATCACACACACACAATATGAACCTGCATCTGTGAAACAAACTGTGTCCTGATTGTTCTCACATTAAGAAATGAATCAAACAAACATGTTGAGGTAGTCCGACTCGAATGTCAAGGAAGGTTGTAGGGAAGCAGACTACACAGAAATTTCAGGTTTGCAGACGTGAGCAATTTATTTACAATGAACTCCGTTTAATGTGTAACTTAACAAAACTTTCCCCAAAAGTAACTCGATTAACAAAACTCATCAGTTCATGGACCTGGTAACACAGCTCACCTCTCCTCTCCTCTGAATCTGGCTTTAAATAGGGCCATCAATTTCCCTCCAATTAGCCCAGCCTGTACCTCTCACTTAAACTGAGGGATCTTAAACTCTACACAGATGATTAAAAAGACACAAAACCTCCTCACACTTCTAATTGACACATTTACGTAACTAAATGGCTCCGTTTACATAAACAAGATTCAACAAACCCCTTCAGAACTTGAAACAAACAAAATGAAGCATTTCTATGGAAAAAGAAACCCCTCCGCTTGATGTCACATCAGCAGGACTTAAAACAACAAAATGCTAGGCAGGCGTTTTCCACCTGCACACCAGTTGGTGGCGATAATGCACCATTTGCACCAACCGGCAATAAACCCTATACAGAAGAAGGCGGCGTTTCCCACACGAAGACTGGAAAGAAACAACAAAGTATGAACAAATGACTTAATCTGTGATGAAATAAAATATAAAGAAACATGTAACTGGGTATTTGTCTCAATTTGCAGAATGTTTGTTTTGCTGGCAACAGACAAACCCGGGATAGTGAGTGCAGCAATGTTACTCAACAAATGGCAAATCAAAGCAAATAAATAGAAACAGAGAAACGTGCAAAAAAAAAAAAAAAAAGGTCAACTCACATGGGACAAAGGGAGAGCATTGCAACTGCTCATCCACTTTGTCACAGCACCTAATAAAATATATGACATATTTGTGAAATTTCATGTGTTATTAGCTTTTTATCTGTGTGCCCAAACTTACTAAAATGCTCTCAAGGTGATGATGAGCTGTCATGTCAGGCATATGAAACAAACATACACATACCTGCATATACTGTGCCTTGAAAAGGTTTTCATACCCCTTGAACTTTTACACATTTTGTCGCCTTACAACCACAAACTCAAATGTTTTCACTGAGTTTTTCTGTGACAGACCAACACAAAGTAGCACAAAATTGTAAAGTGGTACAAAAATGATACATGGTCTTTAAAAAATAAACAAATAAAAACTCTGAGAAGAACTTTTAATCAATGAATCAATAATAAACCTTTACAGCAGTTTGTCCATGTTTATCTGACACCACTTAAACTTTAAAGTTTAAACTTTAAAGTTAATGCAGTAATAAAATCTCTTCTCTTCACAGCTTCATTATACAAACTGTTATGTAAACGTGTGTGAGTCTAAACACTAACATCCACTTTTTTTTTTTTTTTTTTTTTTTTTTTCTAAATGACATCAGAAACAGCAGTATGCGACATTACGTGATGGCAGAGCTTCAGTTCATCCTTTGTCTTTTTTTTTTTTTTTTTTAAATAAATAGGACAGGGGGAATGAATGAGAGAAAGAGGGGGAGAGAAAGAAAGAAAACCAAAGGGGAGAAGAGACGGTGAGAAGGGGGGGAAGAGAGAGGAAAAAAAAAAAAGAACTCCTGGGTCACCTGTATGGAGAAAAAAAAAAAAAAACAAACAAAAAAAACAAACAGAGGAGACAGCAAACAACAAAGAGCAACATAATAATAGAGAAAACAAAGCACCATCACAATAAACTAGCTAGTCATAGATATCAATATTTACTAAATAATAAACGATATTGTGCAGCACGCAAGATAGACAGCGCACAGTGTGCTTTGAGGTAGCAGCCAAGAAAGCTTTAGTCCGCGTCTGTGAATACCCATGTGTACACCTGTGTGGATCAGCATGCTTGCATTCCAAAGGTTTCTCCATGTAATGATCTGCTAGGGAGTGTGGGGGGGCCACAGCCCCGTCCTCCAGGGTGTGAAGCGGGTATGGAGGAGATCAAAACTCCAGACATCCAGAGGCCCCCAGAACACAAGAGACCATGGAAGACCAACAGAGGGGCAGCCGCGCCACTGTTCCAGTAAGAGCTGAGGAGAGTCCCAGATGAGGGCTCGCCCAGCAGCCGCGGAGCAGAAGTCAGGGGGAGTTGCAGTGACGCGCCCGTGAGCTCCGCCGGCCCCCAGCTGTGCCTGAGTGACCGAGCCCCAGGCCGAGAGGCCGGGGGCACCCCACCTCCAAAGGGGCCCGAGCGAGCCCTAGGCCCCAGGCCCCGACAAGCGGCCGCCAAGGAGTGAGCCGGTGTGTACCCGGACGCCCACCCCCAGACACAAAGAACCACCAACACACCGACACCTGAGGGAGTCCGCCACCGGCAGGGGAAGTGGTGGTGGGTGGAGATAGGCCTCCAAACCTTGGAGGGCCTGAGGTGTCCCCAGAGAGGTGGCGTCTGATACCCAACCTGACATATAGACACAGACATACAGGCACACAGACACAAACATCCATTCCCACCCTCATGCTCTCATATGCACTCACTCCACACTCAACCAACGTGGAGACAGACATAAAGAGACGCTGTACACACAATCACACTCCCCAAGCGTACTCTACAAACCGGGTCTAGGTACCCTTGCCCCTGGAGGGGGGAATTGCACCCAGACCCAGGTGGTGTTACCCTTTTCCCTGCGGTGGGGAGAGGCAGACCACCCCGACTCCGCAGCAGCAGGGAGGCCCCACACCCCAGACCGCAGTCGGACGGCCAACTCCTCCTACTAGCCCTCCCGCTCCAGCAGGCCGAAGAGAATGGGGGTGGGAGAAGACTCCAAACCTCCCTCCACCCGCTCATTGTAGTGTTGATGCATATGTGTTCTAAGGTGCAATTAAAACCCAGGAGGGCATGGAGCTACCTGCCAAGGAGCAGCAGGTAAGCGCATAGTCCCTCCTGCTAGCCCTCAATGACTAAGTGTATTTAAAATTGAGAGGTGGGCAACGACGTCAGGGGTGAGGTATACACCCTGATGGTAATTTGGACTCCGTGATTGTGCCCACCCCCAAGATCCTATATGTATGTGTAATGAGAGTGTGAGTAATGTGAATGTCTAAGTTGTGGGATAAAATTGAGGCAGAGGCAGCCAGAAGGGGACAGAGGGGGGGGGGGGGGGGGGGGGGGTAGCCTCCTCTGCACCCTGGTGACATACCCCCACTCCAAGGCCCTGCATGTGTGGGTGGTTGTGGAGGAGCGGGAAGAGGGAGGCAGCTGGAGATGGGGAGGGAAGGAAGGGAGGGGCAGGTAACCCCTCCCTGGGGCCAGCTCCCCCGCTGACCCCAGTAGGCACTCCCACCCTCCACGACCCGCCAGGGAAGGGGGGCCCAGGCCCATCAGACCGGGGCCCAGTGCAGTAGCGCCCTCCGGCTCCACAGAGCCCTGGACAGTCCACCCAACCCCACCACAGAGAAAACTGCACCCACCCCACCATCCACACATCTTCCAGACTACATAAGACGGTAAACGCCCAGGCTGAGATCTTCCTCCACCTCTCCTGTATCTCCCCCTCCTGCAGAGAGTTCCTGAAGAGAAGAAAGCTCCTGCAAGATGTGACCATCCCCCCACCAGTTGAAGAGCCCCCCAGGCGGCTCGATGCACCGGCGGCACCCTGCTCCAGGGCCGGGCCCCCATGCACCCACCCGCCCACACCCCGGCAACACACCAACCAGGACCCAAGCCCCCGAGGCCCGGCCCGGGCCCCAGCCCAGAGACGGAGCGCCCCCAGAACCTCACGCCCATCCCGGACCCACCCAGGGGCAGCCAGGTTGCCAGGTCAGTAACCCACGTCCGTCAGCACAGACCCTCCCCTAGCCCCGCTGCACGCAGCCGCGAGGAAACAGTCACCTGAGAGCCAACAGAGCCCCCAACCGGACGTGACCGCTACCCCGGGTTGAGCCCCCCAAGGAAGATGCCTCCGGGGAGGCATCTTCTAACACTTTCTAACACGACAGAAGAGGTTTGGTGACAGCTGAGACCTGCGTCCTCTGTGAGCAGCTGAAACTAAAGCAGCTCTAACATCTAACAGCGTGTAAGAAATAAATCGATAGGATTTTAAAATCAAACTCACCTGCCCAGGTAAAGCCCACGAGGGAGACAGACAGTAAAGTCCAGCAGAGCCACAGAGATGTTACAGCAAACATGTTTCATTAGGCACATTCAAAGTGCACGAGTGAATTAATGTCGGAGAGTGGAGCCGGCTGTTTTTGTTTTTTTTTTTCCTTTTTTCATGCTTCACGTCCGCGCTTGTTATTGGATAAGCCTGCTGTCAATTATTCACTGTTTCGCTAACACTGGCTGTGCCTCCCCGGTAGACGAGTGAGTCCTCCCAAAGGCGGAGTCACTCCCAGAGGTTTCGGTGTCAAACTAACTTTAGTGAAGTGAGCCGGAAACGCAGCTAGAGGTTCCACACATATCCACTGTACAGTTGTGACTCACGGCTTCAGGTTTCCTTAAAGTGCCCGCTACAGCATTGTTTGATAGACATGAAGAAAATCTTTCTTTTATGTGAATTTAAGATTAGCAAGTAAACAACAGTTAGCTAATAAACTTCATGACATCACACTTTAATAACATAATGAAAATCTAATATGTCAACAGTGAAATTTATCTCACTGCTATTTATTTATTTAAATCAAATTTTACAGCAGTGAAATTTAACTCTGTTTGAAATGCTGATCTTCAGGAAACATTAAAGGTGCTTTTATTTCTGTTTTCTATATTCAAATGTTGTTCTTTTAATATACTGGCACCACTACATTTATCTGAAAGCTGACTTATAAGAGTAAACTTTCAAGCTGTGATAATTGAATGAAGACTGGACCGATATATGAAATATTCCCTTATTGTGAATCATTCCATATCATAACTGTTTGAACTCAGATTGAAAATAGACTTAAAAAGGCTGATTGTTGTAAATGAGTCTGACGGGTCACATTTACACAGCACGACTGTTGAAACTGAAAATCCTCATTCTCTCACCAGCAATCATTTCAGCACTCAGCAGCTTCTTGTTTGAAAATTATTTTAAAAGTTAGATTTGCAGAGATTCTTCTTGAACGTCACCTATAAAACACTCAGGATCCCTGTAGTTATATTTTTGTTTAATTTGACATTTATACTTGTATTTCTTTTTGTTTTTAATTTCATAAATGAAGCTGCATGTGAGGCATGACCCCTAGTGCCAACAGTGAACGCATCACTCTTTCACTCTCTCTCTAACAGCAGCTCTAGTTCACTCTGAATAGGGTGATGACATCATTGCTGTAACGAGTTTGTCGATCTGAAGCTTTTGTATTTGCTTCAGGGAAGCTTATCACTGTGGTCAGCATGTGTTACATGAACGGAGTGCTCAGTCACAGCTTGTATGAGTCGTACATGCTGTCTGACATTTGAAGACTTTTCCTAAAGTGACCAAAATGACAGATTTACACATTTATATCGTTCTACAGATGTTCCAGATGTTTACACATTGAAGCTGTTCCTGGTCACTTTTACTGAATCTGTTCAGATGTTACATCTCAAATCAATGAAACGATGTTCGTTTTAGGGAAAACTGAGGTGACAGAGGTCAACTGAGAACCTGAGGTTGTCATGGGAACGGTCTTTGAAAATCATGGGAAAGTCTCTAAACAGTGAAACAGCAGAGGTCACACAGAGGTCATACAGAGGTCAGAGCATGTTTGGAGAGGTGGTGCTTTAGCACAGACCCAGTTTCTGTCCCCTCAGAGCAAAAAGGTTGCTGATTCAAATCCTGCTGGGCTCTTTGTGTGGAGTTTACACTCAGCTCCTCCAGAGTGGATTTCCTCCATCTCTGCTGTGTACATCCCACCCTGCACTAATGCCAGTACTAATCAGCTGCTGTATTCTCTCTAAAGGCCACCAGATGGCGATAGATGTGGTTGTAAGAAGACACTTTACTGCTGAGTTCATGGACTCAGTCACTTGTTTTCAGTCATATTGAATAAAAGATTATTTTGAAAATACTTGTATGTTTAAAAATGGAGGAATACCTGAGTGTTATTGTTGAAGTCAGAGTCTCCTTCACCAAAGAAGTGCGACCATGGAGACCAAGGTTTGGAAAGGCAAATTGAGTCAGATGGTTCATGGAGGGTAAAAGTACCTCCTCTCACTTCTGCAGACACAGTCAAGTCCAAATTTGTTGCCTTTTTTCTGTGCTTCACGATTTTTGTGATTCTTAGTTTAAAAGTGACTTTTTCTTTTACTTTTACTTTTTCTTGTAACCGGAAGGTTGCCGGTTCGATCCCCCTGCTCTCGCTATCCTGGTCGTTGTGTCCTTGGGCAAGACACTACCCTACCACCTACTGGTGTTGGCCAGAGGGGCCAACAGTCTTATTGCACATGTGGGTTTGATCAGCTGCAAAAGTCTTTGTTGAGGAATCTGACAGCAGTGGGGAGGAAAGACCTGCGAAGTCTCTCCGTCCCACACCGTGGGTGCCGCAGCCACTGAAGGAGCTGCTCAGTGCTGTCACAGTCTGCTGCATGGGGTGGGAGATGTTGTCCAACAGGGATGACAGCTTAGCCACCATTCTCCTGTCACTCACCACCTCCACTGGGTCCAGAGGGCATCCCAGAACAGAGCTGGCCCTTCAGATCAGCCTGTTCAGTCTCTTCCTGTCCCCAGCAGAGATGCTGCCGCCCCAGCAGACCACACCATAAAAGATAGCTGAGGCCACCACAGAGTAACTGAAGGTTTTCAGGAGTGGGCCCTCCACTCCAAAAGACCTGAGTCTCCGGAGCAGGTACAGCCTGCTCTGCCCTTTCCTGTAGAGAGCATCTGAATTATGAGTCCAGTCCAGTTTATTGTTCAGATGAACACCAAGGTACCTGTAGCTGTCCACAGCCTCAATGTCCATACCTTGGATGTTTAGTGGTTGCAGTGGAGGATGCTCGAGCCTCTGCCATTGCTGCACGTATTACCAGAGCCTGTTCTTTAAGAAAGAAACACTTGTGAACTTCTAAATCCTTCTTGCTTGTTGTCTCATTTGTTGTGTGCTGGTCTGTTACATTTTCTAAAACTACACTACACACAACTTTACATTCAGATTGAAAGTGTGCACACATGTAATGAAAACAAATTCCATTAAATCATTATTGTCATCTCCAATCTTTTCCTTGTGCAGTAATACAAGGAACGATTTGCTGTCAGCTCATTTTAATCTGAATTGTTTGAAAGTTTAGTGATGACATCCTGTCTGATGGCACTTTGTTTACAGGCAGCGTTTTAATCACTATTTTAAAGACACTGTGTATGAATGTAACAGCTCAGTGCTGTCTGACAGCATTAGCATTGTTAGTTACCTTAAACAGGCTGAATCCACCGCTGCACTGTGAGGATAAAGACTCTGTGTCGCTCTCAGAAAACCGACATGCCACTAAACAGAGGAAATTCCCTTCACCAACTCAAATCAGGGTCCACCCTGATTTGAGTTGGTGAAGGGAATAGTGTGAGCACTACAGCTGCAGCACAACTGTGGACTGGAGTCCACAGTTGTGCTGCAGCTGTAGTGCTCACACTTGAACATAGTCCTTGTTCTAAGCCAGGCTCCTCCTTCCTGCTTCTCCTCAGCTCCCAATCAACCAATCCTGTGATAAGCAGCTGCTGGTTAACCAACCAGAGAAAGTGGAGTTAGATCCAGTTTACACATCTGCTCAGTGAGGTTGGTTTGAGTCCAGCTCAAATTATTCAGCTTCAGTTCAAGATTATTCATGAAGCACCAGAAAACAACAACAACCATCTGAAGGCTCGTTTATAATAAAAACAAACAAACTTATAAACAGAAAATCCCTGAAAACTGCATGAAATGAGTCAACAGGTCAGAAAGTTTCTGATAAAAACAGATTTATTGTTACAGAAAGAAAACTAAACAAGATTCCTGCTCATAGAAATAAATATATTACATACAGTGTGCAATAATAAAGTAAAAAAGTGTGCAGTGCTTAAAGCTAAATATAATAAACATTAGAAGCTTCTGTGATATAAACATGAGTGTTTTATGTGTTTAAAGTGAAGCAGCAGATAGTTTGATATTAGCTCAGCAGGAGGTCGAGAGCAGGAAGTAGCAGCTACAGCTCACAGTATAAAGACAAGTTTAGTCTGATAAACTAAACTACTTATGAAGACTTCAGCTGGTGTTCATGGAGGTCGATGAGCGAGTGAGGAGCTAAAGGTACAACTTTAACTTTGGGACAGTTTTCTACTTCTTAAAAACTCTATAATGGACGTTAAACATGAAATATGAAAGTGTTTGTTGATGTTTTACACCAAAGAAAAAGAAAATACAAAAATTCATGAAAATCTTATTTTGGCACTTCTTGAAGGCACAGTGGTCTGTCTGTCTGCTCCTGTTTCACTTATAATAAATAATTTAAATTTCCTGAAGCACAAAAAAATCTGTTTGGAATAAATAAATGTTTAGTCTAATTTCAGATACTTAACATCAAACCTTGGATGTCATGGAAATTAATTTCAGGACATTTTCAAATGTCTTTACCCTGAATGCTCAGAGTCACCTTGGAGAAGCTGGAAGAGAAGCAAGAGACTCAGATGAGGAAAAAAAGAAGCTCTGACACATTTCAAACAAGCTGCTGTTCAGGAGGAGGCTGGTAGGAATCCTTATTCTGTTGTTGTTTATGTTTTCTGTAGATCAAAAAACCAACAACAGCAGCAACAAGAAGCACAGCGCAAATAGACAGACCGACTATCAGTCCAACAGATCCATCCTCCTTCCCTCCATCCTCTGTGTGTGTCTGACCTGCAGGTGAGAAACAGGTGTGAGGTGTCAGCTGTCAGGTAGGTGATGAGTGAAGAACAGAACAGAATCCATTTCCTCTTCAAACTGCTGTCAGACATTATCTACTGCACTCTGATCACATCACTCAGACCAGCTGCTTTCTACAAAGTCTCATCAACAACATCTTTAGAAACAAACATCAACAAGCAGGAAGCAGCTTCACCTCTGATCACACACACACTCAACTCTACTCACTCACCTGGAGGATCAACACTTTACCTGATGGAAGTTTTTTATGTGTCTAATAGCTTTGCTTATATTTGTAAATGTATTTAAATAACATGTAGTCAAGATGATTTATGGATGGGTTATGTGTAAAGTAAAAAAAAAAAGAAGCTATAAAAGCTATTTTAAAAATTAAACTTATGGCAAATGCATTACAGTGAGTG